TAATCTTACTGCGGATGACGATGATGATGCTGATGCTGCTGCTGATGAGGATGCTGATGATGATGATGATGCTGATGATGATGATGATGATGGCTGGTGATGCTGATGACGAAGATGCTGTTGGTGATGACGTGGTCGATGAAAATGCTGATGATGATGATTCTGATGATGCTGCTGCTGATGCTGATTCTGATGATGCTTATGCTGATGATAATGACGGCGACGATGATGATGCTGATGACGACGATGGCGATGCCGATGGTGATGATGATGCTCATGACGGCACTGATGATGCTGATACCGATGATGCTGATTATGTTGATGATGATGTTGTTGATGATGATGTTGATTTCATGAAAGTGATGATGATGATGCTGCTAACGATAATGATGATGACGATACTGACGAGTTTGATGCCGATGACGGTGATGATGCCGATGATACTGATGATGCTGACGATGATGAGGGTGATGCTGCTGATGCTGATGAACATGGTGATGCCGATGATGCTGACGATGATGATGATCGTGACTATGATGATGCTGACGATGATGAGGATGCTGATGATGATGCTGATGCTGCTGATGATGAGGATGATGATGATGATGATGATGAGGGTGATGATGACGATGATCAGGATGATGTTGATGCTGCTGGTAACAACGATGATGATGTTGATGCTGATGACGACGATGTTGCTGATGCTGATTGTGGTGATGGCGATGATGATGACGATGATGATGCTGATCATGATGATGATTATGATGATGATGCTGCTGCTGATGATGATGATGATGATGCTGATGCTGATGCTGACGATGATGCCGGTGATGCTGATGCTGCTGATGATGTTGATGATGATATTGATGATCTGATGATGGCGATGATGACGATAATAATGATGCTGCTGCTGCTGATGATGCTGATGTTGCTGCTGCTGCTGATGATGATGATGATGATGATGATGATGATGCGGATGATGATGCTGATGATGATGATGATGATGATGATGATGATGATGATGATGATGATGATGATGATAATGATGATGCTGCTGATGATGATGATGCTGATGCTGATGCTGATGATGATGATGATGATGATGATGATGATGATGATGATGATGATGATGATGCTGATGCTGTTTATGATTATGATGATGCTACGGAGGAGGAGAAGGAGGAGAAGGAGGAGGAGGCGGAGAGCCGAGGAGGGCAGACGAGGAGGGGGAGGATGAGGCGGATGAGGAGGATCAGGAGGATGAGGGCCGAGAAGGATGAGGATGAGGAGACGGAGGAGGAGGAGGAGGAGGAGGAGGAGGAGGAGGAGGAGGAGAGGATGAGGAGGAGACCGAGGGGGAGGATGAGGCGGAGGAGGAGGAAAGAGGGAGGATGAGGAGGGGATGAGCAGGACGGGAAGGAAGGGAGGAGGATGAGGAACGAGAAGGATGTGGAGGAGGAGGAGGAGGAGGAGGAGGAGGAGGAGGAGGAGGAGGGGGAGGAGGACGAGAAGGAGGACGAGCCCCCAGGGGGCGACCTCGATGCTTTGGCGGCGCCTCGGTGCCTCTGGGGGAACGGACATCCGCCAGGGCGTCGCTTGCGGCGCCGCGGCCCAAGGGGCGTTGGGTGCCCTGGCGGGCCCTTGGGCGCCCCCCCCCCGACTCCGCAGGGTGGCCCCCTTGGGGAGTCGGTGTGCCATCTCAGGTCCCTCCTCCCCCTCCTCCTCCTTTCCTCATCCTTTCCTCCTCTCCTCCTCTTTCTCCTCTTTCTCCTCCTCCTCCTCCCTCCTCCCTCCCCCTCCTCCCTCCTCCCTCCTCCCTCCTCGGGGACCCGACGTTTTGGGGCCGCTTGGGTAGGGAAGTCCCCAGGGTTGACTCGGACGGGTTCTCCAGTCTGCGTCGGCCTGCGTGGTGCCAGCCTGTGCGGGGGCTGGTTCTGGCCACTGCTGGGGCCCGCCCCTGACGTCGGGGCGTCGGGCGTGGCCAGAGGGGTCGGCTCGTGGAGAGCACGACTCAAGACGTGTATCGCGTGGCCCCCTTTGGGCAAGGGGGCCTGCGGGTGCGGGCCAGGTTACACATGCGCGGTTACACGCGCCGTGTGCCGTGCACGGCGACTTGTGGTAACTTGTGTCCCCAGGTGAAGGAACAAACAAGGATGCATGGGGGCCGCCCGACATCGGCGGGTTGGTGGAGCTCATTGTGTTCCACGTTGTGAGCCTGGCGCCTCTTCCTTTTTTGTCTTTCTTCTTTCCTTGTGCTTTCTCGGGCCCCGCCGGGAGCGCGCGGCCCCTTGCTCTAGGGGGTCTCGGGGCGGCGGGTTTTGCTTTGCCCCGCGTCAGTGGTTAGGATTGAATGCGGCCGCAATGTCGAGTTTAGGAGAAGGAGGGCGAAGAGGAAGCGAACGAGGCGGAGGAGGCGGAGAGGGAGGCGGAGGAGGACCGATGAAGAGGAGGAGAAGGCGGAAGAGGGAGAGGGGGAGGAGGACAGGAGGAGGAGGCGGCTGTGGAGGATGCTGGGCCGGCAATGCTGATGATGTTTTTGATGTTGCTGGTACTGTTGGTGAAGATGCTGATGGTGATGATGCTGGTGGGTGATGACGTTGCTGCTGCTGCTGATGGGGATGCTGATGATGATCCTAGTGATGGTGACGCTGATGCTGAATATCGTGCTGCTTCTGATGATGCAGATGGTGTTTTTGGTGTTTCTGGTAATGCTGCCGATCTTTTCTGCTTCTTCACCTTCCAGGTCCTGTCTGCTTCTTGCAACCTCCACATCCAGAGCCGCCGAACCTCTCCGGCCACCTTTGCACCGGCGCGGTTGGACATATGTTTGCATGGCAAGGCCGCGCTTGAGAAGTGAGCTTCTTCGACGAGGCGCAGCTGCCGATGTGAGGTGGGCACCTCATTGGTGCAGACAAGACGAGGCACTCCATGATGATGATGCTTGTCTTGCTGCTTCTGATGTTGTTGCTGATGATGATGACGCCGGCGCCACCGATGATGATGAGGGTGATAATGATGTTGACGATGGTGATGATGATGGTCATCTGGATTTTGATGTTGATGGCGACAGCGACGCTGATGATACTGATGATGGGGATGCTGCGGTTGCCGAGGTTGAGTATGCTGATGACGGCGGCGGTGGTGGTGGTAATGATGAAGTTGGTGCTGATGTCGGTGATTTGGATGCTGGTTGCCATGGTCATATGGGTGTTGATGCTGATGCTGATGATGATGATGCTGTTGATGATGGCGGTGATGGTGGTTGTGCGGGCGATGGTGATGATAATGGCGAAGATGGCGGCGGCGGTGATTATATCGTTGTTGCTGGTGATGCGGATGCCAGCAATGATGATGGTACTAGTGGTAATGATGGCGATGACGAGCGAATCATGATTCTGCTAATGCTGGTGCTGGTGCTGCTAATGCTGGTGATGGGGATTACGCTCATGCTCACGACGACGATGATGATGATGCGGCGAATCATGGTGATGGTGGCGACGGTGGTGATGATGATGTTGGTGGTGGTGATGATGATGACGCTGCTGATGATTCTGATGATTGTGACGTCGGCGATGGTGATGACGAGGGTGTTAATGATACTGATACTGTTGCTGCTGTGGGTTATGATGTTGTTGATGACGATGGCTGTGACGGTGGTGATGGTAATGCTGATGAGGTGTTTGATGATGATGGTTTTGATTATTCGTATGGGTCTCGTGGCGATGATGATGATGACGAAAGCTGTGATTATGATGTTTATGATGATGTTGATGTTGATGATGATGGTTACAGTGTGCGGATGTTGATGATGGCGCTGGTGATGATGCTGATGCTGATGATGAAGAGCCTGATGATGCTGATTATGATGCTGCTGATGCGGATGACGATGATGCTGATGATGATGATGGTGATGATGATGATGTTGATGATGATGATGATGGTGATGCTGCTGGTGATGTTGATGATGATGACGAGGATGATGGTGATGATGATGATGGTGATGATGATAATGATGATGATGATAATGATGATGACGTGAAAAAGGAAGAGGAGGAGGAAGAGGAGGAGGAAAAGGCGTTCCGATGCCTCTCGCTGTGCGGCCTCCGTGGGCTCCGCGACATGGCGTCCAGGCGAGCCGCGCGGTGCCGCAGATTGATGGTCGGCGGGTGTTGACTGGGTGGAGCGCGCTTCGGTGATGGTCGGGGGGGCGCCCAAGAGGGGTGTGATTACTAGGAGTGTGTGTTTCTCAAAACCGGGCCGCCTGAGGCCCCGCCCGCCTGTGCCCTGTCTCCCAAATTAAAGCTGTGCGTAGCCCACCTAGCTTTTAGCGGAAGAGGTTCGTTCTCGCCCCGCCGACCAAAAAGTGTTTCTCAAAGCCGGGGCCAGGATATACCACCGGGGTCTCAGGACCCCTCCTTATCCTCTCAGTGCGTCCCCCCGCCCGTCCTCCCCGGGGCCGCGCACGCGATAAGCGAGGAGAGGTCGCGCACCAATGCGTGGAACAAAAACAAAAAAACGGTGCAACACAACACGTCGGCAATTCAGACCACGCGGGAACAAAAACGCAGCAAAAAGTGATTCACAAGTATTTACGCACGTTTTCCCAATGAAAACACAACGAACGAAGTCTGCGCCGACGAATCGCGCAACAACGCGTGCTCTCTCAAGACGCACAACTGAGCATAGCTTTTTGTTGTGCACTTTGTTTTTGTATGTTAGTGTTTTCCTCTTTCTTTTTGTTTGTGGATTCTGCTTCAGGGAGTCCACGATGATTTGCGAGCCCCCCTCCTGGACGTTCCCATCTTGGATGCTCCCGAGAGGGTGGCGGGAGGGGGTGATGGCGGAGATATAGGAAGGGGAAGGAGGAGGAGCAGGATGAGGATGAGGATGATGAGGAGGAGGAGGAGGAGGAGGAGGAGGAGGAGGAGGAGGAGGAGGAGGAGGAGGAGGAGGAGGAGGAGGGGTGAGGAGGGGGAGGGGAAGGGGGAAAGAAGCGCGAGGAGGAGGGACCACTTCGACGCGCAGTGTCTGTGGAGGCTGCTGCCTGGCGCGCCCAAGGGCCCCGGGGAGCCGCGCGCGGCGGCGGCCCGGGTATCCGAGTGGCTTGCGCGAGGACGGCGATGGCGGCGTACGAAAGATGCACCTCCCTTTGCCCCCCCAAGAGGGCAGAACATCAACCCTCACAATAAGCACCCCGACGACGACCACCACGACCACGACCACGACGACGACGTCGACGACGACGACGACGACGACAACGCATGGTATGCAGGGCGGAACGAGCTGACCAGCGACCGCCAGCCTGCCTGCCCGGTCCGGGCCTGGCCAGCTGCCTGCCCAGTCCGCGCACACCTGCCTGTGCCTGTCGGCTCAAGCAACCGCTGGACAGGTATGAGGAGGGGGAGGGTTCTGCTGCATCCTCGGCGGACCTGGTTTGTCCCCTTTCGGGCCTGTCCGCGTCGATTCTGTGTCGAATCCAAGTCGGACACGTCGGATCCGCGTCGCATCCGTGGCACGAGGGGGCAGGGGGAAGCGTGAGGAGGAAGGAGGAGGGGCGGGGAGGAGAGGGGGGGGATGAGGAGCATGAGGAGGGGGCGGAAGCTCGAGGCACGCACGTGCAGGAGGGGGGGGGGGAGGGCCGGCACCGGGTGTGGGGAGGGGGCGGGGGGCCAGCAGCGGCAGCGGAGGCAGGGCCAGAGGCGGGGGTTCAGGGAGGCTTCGCGCGCGGGCAGCTCCGCAGCGGCGCATTTTAAAATCTGCGGCTGTCGCGGTACAGTAGTCGCGATTTGTTTCATCGTTTCGTCGAGCGCGGGATTGTCACCCACAAAGGCGTGCCTTCTTCCTGCTTCCCTCCTTGTCTTCCTTGTATCCCTCTGTATCCTCACTGTCCTCATCATTGTCTTGCCTCTATCTCTCTTCCTCTCGTTCTCGTCAGTCTCGTCCTGACATCTTCGATCTCCTCGTCTTCGCCCTTGTTCTCGCCCTCGACCTCGTCCTGGTCCTTCTCATTCTCATCCTCGGCCACCTCGCCTTCCCTCCGTCCATCCCGCCTGTCCCCCCTGTCGCTCGTTCCTCGCCAGCCTCCTCTGCTCTCACTCTTCTCCCACCCCCCCTCCTCTCCCCAGAAGTCTCCCCTCCCCCCTCCCCTCTCCCTCCTCGCACCCCCCCTCCTCTCCCCTCCTCCCCTCATCCCATTCCGCACCAGGGTGCCCCCAGAAAGCCGGACGCGCTGTCCGTCCCGCTCCTCGCCAGGAGGGGGCGGTCGAGAGTTCCGAACGGTTCAGCGGGGTCCTGGCGTGCAGCTCATGATCCACCGATCGGGGCCTGACCATGGGTCGGGGAAGAGCGCACTCCACTCCTTCAAACTAGGTGCCATATACTGAACCAGTTTGACCGATGCCCAGTTTCACCGAGTCTGATTCTTTCTCGTGTGGCCGAGACCCAGTTTCATGATCTGCAGATGTCGGCGATCGAAGTTCTTTATCTAGTGCCGCCGAGACCTAAGTCTTTTGATCCAAATTCTAACGAGCGGAACGTAAGAGGAGGGAGGAGTATGAATAGGAATAGAAGGATATGAGGATGACGATGAGGATGAGGATGCGGATGATGATGATGATGAGGAGGATGACGACGATGATGCTGATGGTGATGATGATAATGGCCTGATGATGATGCAAATGCTGGGGGTGACGATGATGATGACGATGCTGATGATGATGCTGATGATGATGATGATGACGATGATGATGGTGGTGAGGAGGAGCATGATGATGTTGATGGTATTGATGATGACGACGGCGAATATGAGGATGCTGATGATGCTGCTGCTGATGCTGCTGATGATGATGATGCCGATTCTGATGCTGATGATGATGCTGATGATGCTGCTGATGCTGATGCTGCTGATGATGATGATGATGATGGTGATGATGCTGATCATGATGCTGGTGATGATGCTGATGATGCTGCTAATGCTGCTGATGCTGTGATGCTGATTGTACTGATGATGCTACTGATGTTGCTGATGATGCTGTTGATGATGGTTCTGCTGTAGATGATGATGCTGCTGATGATGCTGATGATGCTTAGAAAGATGCTGCTGCTGATGATGATGGTTATGACGATGATGGTGAGGAGGATGAGTATGATGATGATGCCGATGATAATGATGATGACGACGACGACCATGATGCTGATGATGATGTTGATGCTGATGCTGATGCTGATGCTGATGCTGCTGCTGATGATGCCGATGATGATGCTGATACTGATGCTGATGCTGATGATGATGATGATGATGATGGTGATGATGATGATGCTAATGATGATGATGATGATGATGATGATGATGATGATGATGATGATGATGATGATGATGATGATGATGATGATGTTGATGATGATGATGATGATGCTGATGCTGATGATGATGATGATGATGCTGATGCTGATGCTGATGCTGCTGATGATGATGATGATGATTATGATGATGATGATGATGATGATGATGCTGATGATGAAGATGAAGATGAAGATGCTGCTGCTGATGCTGATGCTGATGCTGATGCTGCTGATGATGATGATGATGACGATGACGATGACGATGATGACGATGACGATGACGATAACGATGACGATGACGATGATCATGATGATGAGGATGAGGATGAGGCTGAGGATGAGGTTGACTACATTGGAGGAGCAGGAGGACAGTGGAAAGGGAGGAGGAGGAGGAGGAGAGGAGGAGGAGGAGGGGAGGAGGAGGAGAGGAGGGGAGGGGGAGGAGGGGAGGAGGAGGGGAGGAGGGGGAGGAGGAGGAGGAGGAGGGGAGGAGGGAGGAGGAGGAGGAGGAGGAGGAGGAGGAGGAGGAGGAGGAGGAGGAGGCGGAGGAGGAGGAAGGAGGAGAGGAGAGGAGGAGGAGGAGGAGAGGAGAAGGAGGAGGAGGAGGAGGGAGGGAGGGAGGGAGGGAGGGAGGGAGCGGTCCGCGCGGCGTCAGAGCCACCGCCAACGCCGCGACGCGACGCGGCGCTGGCCCCGCTGTCTTGGGGGCTGGCCCGGCGGCCCTGGGCGCCCGGCCGTTCTCTCCGCCCTGGCAGGTGCTGCCGCAGGCCGGCCGAACACAAGGTTCAAGATCCTCCTCATCCTCCTCATCCTCTTCCTCCTCCTCTTCCTCCTCCTCCTCCTCTTCCTCCTCCTCTTCCTCCTTCTCCTCCTCCTTCCCCTCCTCGTTCTCCTCCTCTTCTTCCTCCTCCTCCTCCTCCTCCTCCTCCCTGCCTCCTCCCCCCCTCCTCGTACTCCATGTGCTGCTCATGATCCTGCTCGTCCTCTCTCTCCTCGTCTCGGTCCTCCTGGTGCTCCCTCTCATTCCCAGGCATCTTCTTCTTGTAACCGCTCATTTTCCTGCTCCCGATCCTTATGCTGCTGGCGACCCCCATCTGCTCCGGGTCCTGCTCCTGCTTCTTCTACTCCCCACGCTCATTGTCCTCGTTGACGCCGTCGTCGTCGCCGTTGCCGTCGCCGTTCTCGTCGTCGTCGCCGTTGCCGTCCCAAACTTTGACGATGCCAGGCGTCGTTGCCTCCGCCTCAGTGCTCCAGTCTTTCGAGGCCAATGGGGTATGCGTGTTTGCTTTCACGGGCATTTGGTCCGAACATCTTCCAGAGTGGCTGTCGCTCGAAAACCCAGCGCAGGGTGGGTGCTCACAGCCTCCCTGGGGTTGTCGCCCTGACTTGGGGGTCGCCTGGCAGGGCTGTGCTCTGGTCGAGCCTGCTGGCGCCCTGGCGGGGTTGCCACTCTGTCGGCGCCAGCCCGGGCTGCTGTTTTGCCATGGGTGGGGGTTGGTGGTGCAGTCAGCCCGCACAGTAAGGAGGGGCAACCTTCCCAAGGGTACCCTCGCATCCTCGCCTCCTCGGTCCATCCTTGATCACCTTTCTTGGCCGCGCCCCGCTCGGGAAGCTTCGGAACCGTCGTCCGAGGCCTTCGCATCCCTATCGCGCATGCTTGTGATGCGGGCCGACTGCATGGGGGATGTGGTAGTGGAGGGCGTGTCGGGCCGGTTGGGTCCACCCTGGCGCTCATGCCCTCCCCTGCACCGTGCTCCTTCCCCATGGGTCCCCGCCCCACCTCCAGGCGCACGCGCCCCGCGTCGTGCTTGCTGGGGGTGGGTGGTCCCCAAGGGGTGGCGGGCCTCTTGCAGAATCAGCGTCCCGAGGCCTTGATCTGATGCGACTTTTTGCATGGGGCCGTCTGGAAGAGGCCCTCGCGAGGAGAACATCGTGCACTGAGGCACCGCGGGGCCTACCACCCCAGCCCCGCGCTGCGCCAGTCTTTTGACTGACAAGGGGGTGCCCGCCTGCCTGCCTGCCTCCGCGCCTTCCTTCGGTCGCCGTTCTGGGTCCCGCCTCCGCGTGCCCCCTGCTTCTGCGCTCGCTGCGGCGCGGCGGGGCGCTGTTGGTGCAGCGGAGAGGGGCGCCGTGGCCGCTGCAGTGGCAGCTGGCCGGGGCGCGGGGGGCCGCAGCGAGCTCCCGCAGGCGCTGTCGCCGTCGCAGGGGGCTCAGGCACAGCTCGATCGGCCGCAGGCACCTGACGGGCGGGGCGGCGCGCGGCGTTTGAAACAAACAGGGGGACGACCCGGACGCTGTTGAGGTCGGCGTGGGCGCCAAGACGTTTTGCCGTCGGCGATGGTGTTGGGAGCGGCGGGCCTCTGCTGGGCCTGCCCCCCTCTTCGTGCCCTTTGGCGATGCGCTCGTGGCCGCCGAATGCAAACTTTCGCTGAAGCTAAGGGCGCACATTTTCATCGAGGGCATTTTTCTAACTGAGATCAAACGTTTTGCTTACTGATGGCAAGCATTTTACTGAAGGCAGTAATTTCGGAATACATTTTCTGTTCACTGAAGGCAGCTTGTTTGGCCTTCTCTGAAGGCACATTTTCCATGCAGTGAATTGCGAAGGCCGTAGAGCCGCTGCCGCCGACCTTGAAGGGGGGCGACGAAGATGACGACGGCGATGACAACGACGCTCGCGAGCTCTCGTGGGTGCCCTTGTGGGCCCTGTTGGCCTCGTGACCACCCCCAGGACCCCCCACGGGACCGCCCCCGGCGATCCCTCCCAGGACCGCCCCTTCCCACCGGGATCAAGGGCCTTCCCTTCGCCTCGACGGGTGTTCTCTTTCTCTCTCTTGCGCCTCTGTGGGGCTCTATTAGGCTGTCTTGGTCGGAGAGGGGGCGGGGGTCATGACCCCCTGGACCCCCCCCGAGACCCCCGGGACCCCTCCCCAGACCCCCTTGGGACACCCTGGCGACATCCCCTGGAGGGGGGGGGTCGTGACCCCCGGGACACCCCCCCGTGGGACATCCGGGACCCCCCCCCCTGAACCCCCGTGGGACACCCCTGGCGACATCCCCTGAGACCCCTCAGGAACCCCCCCCCGCCCCTGGCGGAGGGAGAAGGGATCAAAGGGAAGGGGCTTCCCTTTGACTCGATGACAGCGTTGTTGGATTTCCGTCTGGCTGCGTCTCTTGAGAAGGAGGGCCGCCCAGGGGAAGGGGAAGATTTGCGACGCCAGCGACGAAGACGACGACCCAAACGGAAAAGGGGAGCGGCGACGGCCACGACAATGATTCCAACGGAATGACGTCTCCCACACGCCAATGGGGTCGGCGGACTGTTTTTGTTCCTTTCTCGAGCGCCTGGCCGCACCCGGGGAGTGCCGCATTGGCTGGCGAACGGGCGCCTGGCGGTGGCGCCCGCCCTGACCTCGGCCGAGGCCGCGCAGCCCGGCGCGTGGCACTGGCGCGTGGCTCGCCAGCGCGGCGTGCTGGGCGAAGT